CCCCAAAACCCCAAAACCCCATGAGATCAGATTCGATATAAACTAGGGATTTTAAAAAATTAGATTTCTGTCATTTTATATTTTAAAATTCAGTGAGTGATTCATCAGGTTGTTTTAGATAGTTTCTTGCTAACAAATTGTAAAATTTAATAAGCAAAATATCTTACTATTAATAATAAATAATTCCTAAACAGCAAATGCTTACTAAGACCACTCCAGAAAATAAAACTCCATTACTTCAAGATTAATTGAATAATTAGTCCTTAGTAATAGGGAAAAAGAGCTAAGTTACTCTTCCTCAAGATTATTAGTGGATTTTAGAAAAATTCTAAGAGGTAGATTACTCCCTGGTTCAAAATAGATTCAATTAAATTCCATTCATAGCATAAAAGAGTAATAGCATGATCAATGTTGCTTAACACATAATTCTTCCTCATAGAAATTTGATTCTGGAGGAATATTACATGGTTAGAAATTATAATAACAGATCTGTAGATATAGTAGATCTAATAACCTTAAAGAAAACCAAAACCATTGACTTAGATAAATGTGATGAGAAAAGCAAAATATTTCATTTGATATTCAATGATACTGACTATATAATCTATCAGAAATTTAAAAGTATAGTAATGGTCAAGCTAGATGATTTTATAAATGAATCAGAAAGTTATTTGATAGAGTTTTAATTCAATGAAAGACAACAAATCTGCGATGTAAATATAATAGATGAGTTCGCCATCATTATCAAATACGGATAAAATATTATATTATTTAAACTCGATGAACACCCCTTTCAAAATTTGACTCAAGATATTAAAATTAAATTTCAAATCAATCTAGTTTCTCAGAAAATCTATAGTCAATATTTACTTGGTGGTACTTCTGATAATTTGTTTATCAAAGATGAGAAACAAAGTTACCACCAAATTTACGGATCAATTTATAGTTTTGAGAAGCAATCTCTTTAAAATCATTTTATCATTTAAGATTTGCTAAATTCATAGACTTATCTTATTGATAAAATGTCACTCAAGACGACTAAGAAATTTGATAAAAAATATTTCACTATTTAGTATTTTGATTTGTACGAGTATCTTTTAGATGAAGAATTCAATCTTTACAAATTTGAAAATATTGATGGAAAAATTGCTATTGAAAAGGTCCATCAACTATTTCCATCAAGTTTTAAATGGATTGTTGCTATAGCATCGAGTCCAAATAAATTTATTATTCTCTATAAAGATGAAAACTTTAGCCATTGCCTATTAGTTTTTGATTCCAGAACTTATCAATTGATAGATCATATTTCGAATATCATAAACAATGCTTATAATAATGGTTGTGATACCCTTTTCATAGATACAGTTCATAACAAAATCTATTATAAAGATAAAATTGAGATGGAATTCATTAATTGTATCAACTTTAGTACAAACCATTATTAAAGTCATAATATAATTCCAGTTGTGAACTAAAATCATCTAGTTGATAATAATCTTTATAAAGAAATGATAAATAACTTTATTATTTATAAATCAAGGAAAGGTGATAATCTAGTTATTTAAGACCTTAATACTGGAGTAAAAAAGGAGATTCCCAAAGATTATAAAAGTGAATGTAAGTCTCATCTCTAAAGTAATGAAGAGATAGATACTATTTTTAATAATGGTAACTTCAATGAAGTTATATAATCAATGTATGTAATTTAAGAACAGCAAATAGTGGATGATATTAATTCAGAGGATACTATGATTAGATCTGATTATAAATATATCTTTCTAAATGGTAATCGTAAAGTGGACTGGATAGAATTCAGAAAAAAATCTGGCTTTTAATTTGAATATGAGAACTAGTTTTGCTTTATGTAAAATAGATTCAATCAAAAGCTGTATATACTTGATGTAGCTAGTAAAAATAGAATAGTCTATTTCAATAAATTAACTCAAGAATTTTAATCAATTGATATGAATGATTAAGTTTATTACGAGTAAGAACCTGAAAGTGCAATTCTAGCTGATGAACTCGGAATTTTACTTATCTAATCAGATCGTGAAATATTTCTTTTTGACCTTGAAAATAAATAGAGAATTAAAGATACATAACTGGGACATAATTCTCTCAAGAAAATTATGCTTTAGATAAGTTTTATGACGAAGCCATCGATTTTCATTGGTAATAACTATCTTCAGATAAATTTTGAATTTATTACTAATATTCTATTTTTCAACAATAAGAAACTCCACAAAGTTATTTAAATAGAGCAAATATAACCTCCAGAGGATATTGAAGTTTCTAAGAGCTATTAAAAGGAATACAATTAAAAATCCTTATAAATAATCAGAAGATAAGATCAAGAAAATTAATCTGAAATTTATACAATGATTTCAAATTCATTTGAAGAAATGTTCAATGAGGAATATCTAATTCAACCAATATTTCCAGCATTACATTTTGAATTTGCCTAGAGAATAATTGTAGACACAAGTACAGTCAAATTGTTCATTAATGGTGAATAGTAAATGGTGGGCCTTTTTGAGATTGATATTACTGACTAAATCATAATCAACTACAGATAAATCACCAGCCTAAATAATGAATAAATAATTAAAGAATTACAACTGAATCTTAGTAAATTTTTCAAATACGTTGCTGGTTATGGAACATGTTATAATCTTTTCTAGAATAACTTAGTTGTACTAGAAACAATTGTTAAATAGCTTTCCTTGAAAGATAAGCAATCTTTACCTATCCTAATTTGTTAGAAAATGCTAGGGGGAGAATCTCCGTTAGATTTCTCAATTAAAGCTCACCAATAAAAGATTATAAATCTTATACTTTCAATGATAATCAAATATTAAGATCACATAGTCTTTAACAACCTTGTAGATAGGAATTTATGTGAGCTTATCAAACAATAAATAGACTTACAAGAATATTTTGATAGCAATTTACCCACTTATTAAATAATTGATCCATCTTTTCCAAGTTAGCACAGCAATGAAAAAGAATTAATAGTTGGAATAAACTTATTAAATCCTAAGGATGTTCATGAAAAATACAATGAATTAATTGGCGAGAAGTTAACTGAGCAAAAGGAAAACACTGATTAATTGGTATCAATTGAATATTATTTGATCAACTTGCCACTAACTCTTAAAACTAATCCATAAGAGTTAATGAAAGTTTTAAGGGAGACAGACATGCCAGAATACTTTGAAAATAAAGTCATTCAAAGTATCATTAATTTTAAATGGAATAAGTACACTAAATCATTTTACCAAACTAGATTCTACATTTACCTCATTTTTATGGCTACGTTCATCTTTGATATATTTTATTCTACATATGCTTCTTAAGCCCCTAATGAATAAACTAATGACCAGGCAGAAGAATTAAAAAATGATGAGGTGTTTTCGCCTAATATTTGGATAAAAATTTCAGCAAAAGCTTTATGTTCTATTGTTCTAATATTCTTCTTGATATATGAAGTGAAGTAAATCATTGCCTAAAAAAGAAGTTACTTTGATGATGGATGGAATTACTTTGACATCTCTCATATAGCAGCATTTACTACTTTTTGCATTCTTGACTTTACAATTGAAGATTCAGACAATCTCATCTTGATAAAAGTCCTTGTAATATATCTATCTTTCATGAAACTATTTTTCTTTTTAAGAATTTATGATGGATTCAGCTTCTTGGTATAAATGATGGCTGGCGTTTTTAAAGACCTTAAGTATTTTCTCAGTTTCTTTTTAATTATGATCCTACAATTTGGAATGATATTCTTAGTCTTATTCAAAGCAGAATAAATTGATGAATATAATGGTGTCAATAAATTGGCATACTTCTTGATGGCCTTCAGAATATCATCTGGTGACTTTAATGTTGATAACTACCATAGCTAAGGAGATCTACTTGTCATTTTTTCTTGGATCATCTGGTTATTAGCTGTAATAATCTTGAATATTGTTTTCATGAACTTCATTATCGCTGTCATCTCAGAATCTTACGAAAGAGTCATGCAAAAGCTTGTTGCAGAATCTTACAAAGTAAAAGCTAATATGATTGTTGAAAGAGAGCAATTATTCTCTTCGAAAGAGTTAGAGAAATAAGAAAACTTTCCTAATTTTATTGTGGTGAGAAGACCTATTAACAATGAAGAAAATGAAGCTGGGGAATGGCAAGGATTCATTAAAGATTTGAAGTACACCATAAGAACTTCAGCTGCAAAATCGAAAGGAGAAATTCTTCAGAATCTTCATTCTATTGAAACTCAAAATAAAAAGAACAGCCAATAACTTGAGAATCAGGATTAGCAACTTTCTAATTTGTTGTCGGAATAAGTTGTTATCAAGAATGATTTCTAATTATTTAAAGGAGCTATTGACTCTTAATCTTAGAAGATTGATTCCCATGTTAATGGACTTGATGTCTAAGTTAAAGGTCTAGATTCTAAAGTTTTAAAGATTCAAGATGATATTGATTTTATCAAAAATTCTATGATTTCATTACTTCAAAAATCAAATCAGTGATTATCAGATTTTGAAGTGAATTTCAAATCCTTTAGTTCAAATTTCAGTGAAATGTATTAAAACTTGTTAATACTTAATGAAATTTGAATCAGTTCAAATTATTTAAACTCAGGAATATATAAACCTTCATTTTGATTAGACTAATCTTATTTGTTTAATAACCTTTATTACTATTTATTTATCTCATGGGGTTTTGGGGTTTTGGGG